ACCTGCCACCCCACCTCCTACCTCTCTCCCCTTCTCTCTTTCTTTATCCCCCCCTCCCTGGTCTCCTTTTCTCCTTCCACACACACATACTCCATTAACCTGGGGTTAATAACCACCCGTGACTCAAGTTTCCCTTAGGCTAACAACACAAGTGGCCGGCCTCTGCTACGAAAATATATCTACATCTACATGCCGCCATGCAACCGTTTTTGTTCGTTGGGTTGAAAAGAGAATGGGTATGCAAATGAGAAGCATTTTACTTCTTTTCACCCCCTCCCCCACCCCCAAACTATCTCTCTCAAATCTCACCCCTTTCCCTTCTCCATATGTTTTTGCATCTGTTGTATCTTTGATTGGAAGGGAATAATGTAAGATGAATCCTTTTTAAAAAATTCAAAGACTCCCCCCCCCCCACACACACACACATTAAATTCATACACATATTATGCAGTGTGCAAACACCATATTGAAACAGGGGTGGGTATTCTGGTGTGGTATTCGTCTTCTACTTGTTTACTTGTCACTAGCACCTTGCATAGTTTCTGTGTGGGTGGTTGGCGGGTGCACTGATGTGGTTTGCTCCTTCTTTCTTGTCAAACATTTAGGCTATTAATTATCCTTATTTCTGTTTTTTTTCTTTGTACGTTAGGATACTCTCTTGAAACACCTCTAATCATCGGTACTTAAATGGTCAGTTTGTTTTGCAAATGCCATAACATTCGTACATACATTAAACAAAACGTAATCGTTTCTGTTGTACGTTTAGCGAACTGTTATAATTCATTAACCTCAGTCAAAGATAGTGAATAACTATCATTGTCTCAGTACACCTGGTATGAGTGTTCTATAAGATCGATACACTTCACCTGTTCCCCTCTCCCCTTCCCAACTCATAACTGGCACTGACCTCTTGAAAATAATAGGTAGGCAAACGCAATAGTATCATTTATTAATATATATTACTATGTGTGCAGGATGTTAATTTTCGGATGCACGGTCGAGGTTTTTAGAAATACTAGGGAGGTTACTCCCATTCGTGACAGTCAAATTGATCTTTTGGGAACGCAAGACTCTGTCCCTTGCTTGCTCGGTTTGTCAAGGCATATTTCTTCTCTCTTCTGCTCCTCGCCTCTGGCATAGATTCATCGTAGGCTAGCTACAGCAAGTCGGTGAAAGTCAAATTATTCCACGACCGTCACGCTGTGCTTGTAGGTCGTGGTATAAAACCCAGGTGTCACCCTCAAACCTTCACCACTTCTCCCTCGCTGGCCGGCTCGGCGGAAAGCGGCTTTATAATTCGCTAGGCTAGCAGACCACGAACAACGCTACATCACAGGTCCATCACGTGATCACTTCGCCGATTTTCGGAGCTAGAATTAAAATCTTGGTCGTAAAAACGAGAAGTGTCCAGTGCTGCTGACCTGTTCTCTAATTATTTCGAAATTTCTATTGCTAAATATCGGATATATCACAACATCAAGAGTGGTGCAATTTTATTTTCGCATAAAGGGTATTTCGCAATCCAGCATTTTTTTTTCACCTTCTTTCATGCAGCGTGACGTCATTTGACCGACAGCGTTGTTCCTTGAGACTTGTATTTCTACACTAGCGCCCTCCTGCGACAGCCTCAGTCGCGATGGCGTCGAGTAAAGTGAACAAACAGGTAAGGAGGACATGGCGAGGGATTTACAGTGTGTTTGAGTGCTGTTTCATGTTGTGTAGCTTTTCAAATCGATGTATTAAAGTTTCGAGAAGGGAAAATAGTTAGATTTTCTACAGTTTGTCCTCTAATTTCTCTTCGAAGGGCAAATGACCTACACAAAATGGCGTGCTTGGCACGCATTTCCGCATCTCCTCGCCGGTGTAACATGTATTGAAGACAAATTGGCTCCAAGCAGTGTGTCTTTGGCAGTATTTTCGCCACGTTTTCTACTTAGGATTATGATTTTCAGTCGTTAAAACATTTTCAAGATGCTAAAATATTTGATAGGAGCCTAGTGTGTCTAGATCTAGAAGAATATCTATCGAGATGTCTGCATCCTCATGAATATTCATGAGATAGGTCTACTTTCGGGGCCATTTAGAGGACATTCGGGGTTGTCGCACGAGTGCCGATATTTTTGCCCTCTACCGAGGCTCAAGACACTGTTATTTTCCTGTCCTTTTCTAATTTGCTTCTTTCACTGCAGCATTAAACCAAACTGTACATATTCTGGTCATTTGCGAAGGGATTGAATCTGCATAGATTCTAATTCTACTGGCATTCTGTGCCTCATGCCTTGAGGTCTTGAAATCTTGTTCAGGAAACCCGAGTCCGATGCCATCACACCAGCAGGAGAGGGTGGAAGTAGAAGACGAGGGCTGAAGGAGAAAAGGCCGGCACCTATCTAGATTTCTAGGTAGATTCTAAATGCGGGTCAGCTTTTGTGATCTGGGGTTATGTGGTTCGAATCCTGTATTTCACCCCCTTTTGCATGAGATCTACTTTTTGATTTGTTTTACTTCATTAATAGTAATGGCTTTCAATAGTAATAGTTAAGAGATCTGGCCTAGATCTACATGACCTGGCTGTATACATCTCTAGATTTCTAGATCTAGATCTAGGCCCCATCCCCCCTCCCCTCTAACTCTGATCTTAGTCTTAGTGAACTTTTATAGGCTAATCGCTAATCAGCCTGCTTTTTTCTGGGATTAAGATTAAATAAGTAGGTTTATGAAAATGAAATGCCGAATATAGAGATTTAGATCTAGATCTAGATCTAGATCTAGAATCTATAGTCTATACTCGTACTGCAGGTTTGAAACATCAGGTTAGATCTAGAATTTAGATCTAATATCTAGACTAGATCTAGACTCTAGATTACATGCGATTAAACGTAGAATAGCCAACTGCATGGCACCAAAGATGGAAATGTCAATGTTATAACGCTTAATCTACACTACACCACCATGCTCTCGGAAGTTCTGATGGCCTAATAGACAGTGCGTCTGCGTTTAAAGTCGTGCAATGATTTTAGGAGCGGTTCAATTCGGGTCCAGGATTATTTTTTTTTCACTTTTCCTCCTCCCGACTGACCAACAGTCCCATAAATTATAATTTTTAGAGCTGCTTTAAAGTTTGGGGAGGACTTCCGTAACGAGCGACCACTATGAGACAGAGCAGAATTGAGGGCTTGGGGTAGGGGTAAGGTTAGGGTTAGGTCTAGGCCTCTTCTTTATTGTGTTTGATGGGGTGGTCGCTCGTTACGGAAGCCCTTCCGAAGTTTGTTTATTTAATGTATATATGATGAAGAATGCAGGAGAGGGGGGGTGGGGGGTAGATCTAGATCTAATCCTCCGGCGTCTTTACGGCAATTTTCGTACACTTTCATCTTTGGTGCCATGCGGTTGGCTATACTTAGATGTAGTCACGTGATCGGAGGGGAATCCTGGCCTGACGTCAAACAAGATGGGTGCCGTACCTAAAAATAATGTGCGTCTTTCTACGTTTAATCGCATGTGTCTAGATTCTAGATTAGATTCTACGGTGATCTTGTAGTTCCCTTCGTTAAAGTCCATGATCCATTTGTTTACATCCAGAGAAGAAATCTAGAAGCCTTGCGGCTTGATCCTAGTCTCCCTAGATCTAGAACTAGATATTTTAATTCATCAAGTTGCAGTATTGTTGTTTGTATTTTATACTAAATTTAAACGAAGTGACTAGGTCTAGATAGATGTAGATCTAGATCTAGATCTTTTTCTCCGAGCATTGGATTGGGGAAAATAAACTTGACCTCTAAATTCTAGATCTAGTTCTATTTCTTCGAATGGTTTTCATTCTCCAGATTTTTTGGTTATTTGTTAGATTTAGATCTAGGTGTCAACTTTCATTTTGCGAGGACTGGGAAGAAGCATTTTTTGCATCGAATTCAATTTCTAGAGCTAGATCTAGAGATTTTTAAAACGTCACAACGTTCAGATACTTCAATTGTGGTTTGGGCAACGTTCCCGGACTAGAATCGAGGCCTACACTTCATTTGAAAATACCTTCAAAGGGTACTGGGAGAAAACAAGACTACTCGACTTTGGCAGTAAACTATTTTGCATTAGTCACCCTTAAAGCACAAACCTAAAATCCCTCATGTAAACAAAACAAAATCCCTCAATGCCTCCATACCCCCCCCCCCCTTCACACCTTACACACACATACAGGCCACTCCATTCGCAAATAACCGACAAATCTCGAGAACGGAAACTGTTCAGAGTTCAGAGAAATAGAGTTCAGTTCAAGTTTATTTTCCAGAGCGTTCTGAAAAATAGAGTCGGCCAAATTTTAATTTTACAGTAAAACTTTCATACAGTCACTTTTGAAGATGAGAAAATGCCGTTGGGCACAGATGGACTGACGGAAACCACTCTGCGAAAGCTTGTACAATTTGCGTTTCCATGACTGTTGTATCTTTCTAATGTCGAAAACATTTGTCAATCCCTGACATCTTTGAGTTATCCATGCCTGACTGTATTTTGTAAGGCCTTTGTAAAGTAAAAGGAATGTTAGACTTTTTCAGGGGAAGTCGTCTCCTGAAATGGGTGACCCAAGATCTAGATGTAGCTTAGTCAAGTTGCAGTAGCCTCAGCAGTAGCAGTGTAGAAGTTGAATGATCAGTTATTATAGTATTACTTATAAACATGATTAGAGGGCAGAGTGGTTAAGCTCTGTGTGCATCCATCATGTAACAAAAAAATAGAAAGTCTGTCGGACTACTCAAATTAAATCAATGTATTATATTACAAAGTAGGTTGATTAGTGTGGGGCTGAAGTTGTACTTAAAAAAAAAAATTGTCTTGCAGTTGTGCATAGAGTGACAGAAATAAGTGTGAATGGTTTGATGTGAAAGAATACTTATTAACACAGCTCATTGGTAGATGGTTTAAGGTTGTACATTGCAGTTTTCATTTTACACCCCCAAGGCCAAGGCAAGGGAACTGTTGAATGCTCATATGTCTGCTCTAACTCTAGGTTGTCAGGTCCTGTAAAACACACAGAAATGCTCTCTTACAGTCTTAAAAATCAATTCAAAATGGAAACATACAGTAGTCCTGTTGTCAGTGGTTTGCAGTAACCACTCAAAGTGACTGCGAAGAAAATTCAGCTTCGCTGTTGGTAGATTTGACCTTTAAAGCCATAATCAGGAATGGAAAGGTCAATGATGTCTCCCAGCTCAGCCAGCTGGGGGCTGATGCTTACAAGTACTGCCTTGTAACTCTCACTAAATTGGAATTAGGTCACAAATTTGTGATTCTAAATTGTAAAATTCTTGAGTCTAGTAGAATCTAGTGGTTGGCAGTTGTCTGTCCCCTTTGATGAATTTTACTGGGGTTTTTTTGTTTTTTTGTCTAATTGTCTCAGGTTTGAGAAAATGAATGGAATTAATTGAGAAGAAATCAGCTTAAAAATCTTAACAAATTTTTTTTTCTCCCCTGTACATTAGTGCTAGATTCTATGGGTATCTGTTTTGTTTTTCACTCCTTTCCTTGCACTACAAATGAAACAGAGAGAGAGGGGGAGAGAGAATGTTTTACGGCTAGGGTTGTTTCAGCACGTGAGACATGTTTACTAATGTCCTGTCTTGTTGTGCGTATGCGTGAGTGCACTTAACGTTTGTAACGTCTACTGCGATTGTTAACGACCAAGACAAATTTCTCCCTGCGAGATGAATAAAAATTGTTGTTGTAGTTTGAGAAAAAAAGTGCAGATTTTTTTTCTTGTACCTGTTGTGATTGAAATCCAGCAGTCCTTTATTTGCCATTTAAAAGACGTGTTGTGCAATCTGCAAGATACAAGCATACAAACCACTCAATTGACTAGTGTTTTTTAGCTGGCTTTTAATGACTTGAAGTTGAAGACACTCCCTCTTTCAATGCAGTTTAGTAGTGAGACAGTTGAAATAGAAAGACTGTCTCTGAAATTTTTTGGCTGCGTAGAAAAAGTCTTAGGCTCTGCTTTGTATATTTTTCTTAGGGGAAGAAAATTATTTTTGGGATATACGTCAAGAGGTAGAGCGAGTCGTAGTGTTGTACTTGAAGACACTTAAAACACTTACAGAAGTTAAGAGGATTATTTTGCAATACAGGGGGTCACCAGGGTAACTTCAGTTCTTTTGTAATTAGTACAGTACATGCATCTAGCCTTGCTATATTGCGTACTTGTTGTAATTTGAGCAGAAAACAAATGATTTCTTTTCATGTTTCACCAAGAAGGAATTGTTATTTCTTCCTGTTGACCGTACTAAACTAATTATATAGCCTTACATCCTGTTTTGCTACAAGTTGATGTAATGTCTCTCGTGTTCTATCAAGGAACATCCTGTTTTGTTTCCTCCCGTTCAGTTTGACAAGAAAAGAAGTTAACCCC